CTAGCACTCTCGCTACGCCCCAACTCACTCACTCGCTGGCAGTTGTGTCTGCCTGCGTTCTGGCCATGCAGCTGTGCTGTGAGTGAGGAGCGGCTGTATATACCCGGCCTGCGTTGCCCTGTTTGCTTGAGATCTAGGATCCAGCATCGCGTGCCGTGCGTGCGTGCGTTGGGGGGAACCGAACACCCCCTCGCTCGCTCGCTGAAGAAACAACTATATTAATACCGCCTTCTGCAGCACGCGCGCACATGATCTTATCTATCCCAGTGTGAGCTGCCCTGCCTGCCTTGCCTGCTGCCTGCCTGCCTGCCTGCCAGCCTGCCTGCCTGCACCCTGCGTCTCAGTCCACTCCTTCACTCACTTATAGTGCTTTTCGGAGAACGCGTCTGGTCACAGCGCGCGCGTGTGTGTAGAGGGTGGGGAAAGAACACCAGCATTTCCTATCTTATATAGCGCTACGCGTCCGTAATGGCAAGAGACATTTGTCAATGCGAGCCTATATATGCGCTTTACCTATTATATATAATATATATATATATATATATATATATATATATATATATATTATTATATATTGACGACCAATGGAACGCCACTCGTTATCTGTCGGCTATAATAGCTGTTGCCTCTATGCGCAGAAGTTTATAATAAGCGCTATAAGCGTAATTATTTTCTCTCGTCGACCATCGCCGCACTCTATCTGCTCGTTCGTCCGGCTGCCACGTTTTTGCCGCGGCGTCTTCCCGGCGCGTTTTTTGCCACCGCAGCTAAATCGTCGGAATAATTAGCCCGATAGCCGGCGCGTGTGAAAGAGCGGGGCGGCGGGAGGGCTGGGTGGGCGGGGGCGCCGTGCTGGCGGGGGTCCGGTTAGGGAGGGGGGAGGGTATTACGTCTCCTGGCCGGATGACTTATTTTCCATCTATGTGCGAAACAGCGCAAACGTATAACAAGACTAGCTGTAAACAACCGGGAAATGCTCTATATAAGCAGCAAAGGGACTATATTAGACAAGGTTGTTCCTTATTAGGTTAGGAGAATATGGAATACTAAGACGAGAATTATGCCAGTGGTGGTTGGAGCCCTTGGCTCTATAAAGAATGGTTATGAGAAGAACCTTAAGGAACTCCCTGGCACTACACTGCCCAAGAAGTGCAGAAAATCGCACTACTGAGAGCAGCACACATCCTGCGAAGAATTCTGGATTGAATCCCTATTGTCCCAGGTTGCGGACACGCGTCAACCCAAAGCCACCGGCTAATGCCGCTGACCACTTTGGAAAATAATAATAATAATAATAATAATAATAACAATAATAATAATAATAATAATATATAATTATGTATATGAAAATATTAAAATTAATTCTCTAATTAATCTCTGCCTTTCTAGAACGTATTTCTTTTTACCGTTGCTCTGGGTTTTCCTTTTTTTACTGGGATAATTATTATTGCACACATTTAAAGCTACTACTACTGCTGCTGCTACTACTGCTGCTGCTGCTGCTGCCGCTGCTGCTGCTGCCGCTACCTGCCCGCTACTGCGCTACTGCTGCTGCTGCTGCTGCTGCTAGTGCTGCTGTTTCAGCTGCTGCCACTATTTCTGCTGCTGCCACTGTTTCTGCTGCTGCTGCTGCTGTTTCAGCTGCTGCCACTATTTCTGCTGCTGTTTCAGCGGCTGGCCACTACTGAAAGACAGTAGCCAGACACTCTTGCTATCAGTGGCTGGTCACTGGTCTAACGCTTACGTATCCTACGTGTTATCTACGTTAGCAAACTTACGCCCGGATGTCCGTCGATTACATGTATATTATCAGCCTGCACTTTGGCAAAGGCCCTGGCGCCGCGCAGCTTGTCACCCGCAGCACACACATACACACCACACACACACCACACACACACACCACACCACACACACACACACATACACACACACAGCACACACTCACCAGCTACACACACACACACACACACACACACACACACACACACCACACACACACACACACACACACACACACACGCAGCACACGCACACACGCACGCACACGCACACACACCACACACACACACACACACACACACACACACACACACACACACACACACACACATACACACACACAGTATATACTCTGTAACTGCCAGCTTAGCGTGGATTAGGCATCGGCTGTTAGTAACAGCCTGTTATGCGAGCGTTATATATACGGTCTCCTAATGTTGAGATAAGTAGACGAAAAGACGAGATAACACGGCAATTAAGGTAATGACAATGACCGTAAAAGAAACTAACTATAGAGAGCTAGACAGACGAGGGTACAATGCAGTGCCATCTGATGGGAAGAAATACGTGGAATCAATTGACAGAGTGAACTGCCACCGGCTAAAATAAACAGAGGTGTTACATATATATAGATACAGCTAGAGTAGTACTTCTTTACGGCAGATGCTATACGCTAACCGACTGATGAGGCAGGCGGATAGTAAATAAACGAATATAGGTCCCATATCCGGTTGGCGTATAGAATGTTCGAGAATGGTGCAAAGACAGCCATCAGCTATATACGTACCAGACACTTGTCTACTCTATAGCCTTCTAGAAGTGCGCTGTATTAATTGAACTGTGTGATTATTAATTTATTGATTATTATAATTGGTAATGATTATATAGTGATTAATTGTTTGTTTTATTGCTCATAATTACGTTATAAATTTAGTTATTTTATATTTATTTATTTATATATACCTATTATTATATATTTCTAGCATCTATTCTATTCTATTCTATTTTTATTCATTCTAATGTTCTCATTTCTATTTTCTCAATCTATTTTATTCTGTCATCTATATTACAATATATTATATATATCATGTATTCAAGAAATGCATGATTCCCATTCACATCAATAATGCAAATTATAAAAAAACCTCAACCATCTAAGGTGAAAGTTTGTGCGGAAACATAACGTCCAACGCGCGTAGCATTCCGTAAAATCATTGCCATCTTTCCATTATTTACATTTACATTTTACAACACGGTGCATGGGTGCGCTAAATTATAATTCCAACGCAGAGGTCCCAAGTTGGGAAAGTCCAAAAAAGGGAGCCAGCAATCCAAGAAAGGGAGCCAGCAATCCAAGAAAGGGAGCCAGCATTGGCCCAGCAATCCAAGAAAGGGAGCCAGGTCCATCGCCGATTTTTCGCAGTGCGCAAAAACAGGAAAAAAGTTGTGGCGGGCTGCGATATGTGTTTGTCGCGGCACACCACTATTTTTTATAAAGTATAAATGTAAAATCATCGTTTTATCGCCTTTTATTGTTCGCTGAAATCAAAGTACATCAACAACAACGGCACATTTAGTAATTTACTGATTTACTGATGTAAATTTTCATATGGCTGAAAAATGTTCCAAACCGAGAGCTTCTGACCGGGAGACTTGGGACGTCTGTTTATGCCTTTACACTTGTGTAACGACCCATAACCCTTTTCAAGCCTGTTTGACAGCTCACGATGTGACTGTTGGCTTTCTCCGTCGGCCGTGTTTGTTTGTGGCAGGCGGAGCCACCCTCACTGTAGCTTAGCATTTTATTGACGTGTAAAGGTCGTAGCGATGTTTTTAAATGCTTGCTTTCGGGCATTTAAATATAGTATAGATTAAAGTAGGACCCAACCTGTCTATTTAACTAATTTTAAACTAAAACTTGTTAAAGTGTAAACTACGAAACTATAAGGTTAGAACAACCCACGCTATCAACGAGAGAGGGAGCCACGATAGACACGCGAGTGGGCGCAATCGGACATTTGTCAAGTTTCAACATTTAAATTAGTTTAGACTAAATTAACCAATTTTTATTCGGAAAACTTACTCTCCCAACGTGGTAAGTGGCAATTTTGATACCCGCTGTATGTTTGTCACAACTATCTAATGTATAGCCTGATTTCTCTGTAAGTTTGTACGCTATATTAGCACTGTATATTTTAGATCATTATCAAGTTGCATGGCCTGTGTGCCTACTGTCATTTTAAATATCTAAATATCTCGTCATCTACACGCCGTCGAGCGTTATTGTAACATCTATGTGATCTAGAGGAATTACCTTTATTGATTTAAAGTCTATTTTCTGCTAGTTGTGGAAATTTATGGTAAATTTATAGCGTCATATATAATTTGTATAGGAACGTACATGTATAACCTATCAGGCCTATAGAGCGTAAACTAGCTTTAAACACATCGTTAGCATCAATATGCATATAATATTTATCTATTTAACGTCGACCTATTTCTGTCATATTAACGATACTTACGTTGTCTTTCCGTTCGTGATTGTAAATCTCGGTTTTGTTTTTTTTTCTATTAGTTTAACTCTGGTCACTGGAGCTCATAACCTCACTGATCGAGTATATCACAAGGGAAATAAATTACAGTAACCACCAGAACACTCGTCATTCTCATTTACTGCTCTCAAGAACTATGCTACGGTCACTACAACCCCTGGCAAACCTCACGGTCCGCTACAGTTAAACACGTTGGGAGAGTACGAACAATTACTGCAATATGGATCTCAATGAAACTAAGAACGCTCGCAAGGTAGCACTGACGCGGCTGATAACCATCACTGGGCCTTCAGGAACGCTGGAGACGTCCAGGAAGTCGAGGAAGTCCTCCCCAACCTGGGCACAGCACTCGAGCGAGTGACGGAGGCCCACGATGCCTATGTGAACCTATTGGAACCTGGCGTGGCATTCGACAGGGCTGTCGACTACCTACCGGTGGTCCGGGCCAATTACGAAGACTTTATTACGAACATTAACGCTTGGTTGGTGGAAGCCAATCACGTGGAAGAAGAAGAAGAACAACAACAACAACCACCACCACAACTACCAGAACAACTACCGCTTGACAAAGATCAAGAACAACAACAACAACAACAACAACCACCACCACAACTACCAGAACGACTACCGCTTGACGAAGATCAAGAACAACAATGACAGCGGCTAGAAATGAGAGCGCTCAAGATAGAGGCTAGGCATAGAGAGCAGCTGATACGCGAACAAGAGCTCGAACTGAAAGGCCTTCAAGACAAGCTCGAGTTCGCACAGCGAAAGGCCGAGCTGACCTATCAGACCGGCAACCTCAAGCAGACCCTGGAAGGTAGGGAACCTGCTGGAGCTTACCACTCAACTCCCCAACCAAATCTTAGAACCCCTACTCTTAACCCGGTGGGCGCCACACCTGTCCCCAACTACCCAGAGACGCCAAGGTACACTAACGACAACCGGGGTCTCACACCCGCGGGAATCGCTCGTGACACACTCTCGTCTGGGGGGCATGCCCTCAGACCCCGCTAGAAGTTTCCCCCACTTTTTTCACCCCCTTCCTCCCTTTTCAGCATTTGTCTGTCTCATGCCTGGAAACAGAAACTCAGGCAAATGGAATTAAATCCAGTACAAAAATTAGACACCTACCTCTATCTAGAATTTTGGAAAGGTACCTCTGATGCAGTGTCTGATAAATATAAACAACTTGATATGTTTCTGTCTGAACTCAACTTTTTTCAGTCGCTATATGTTGATGAATAGGTACACATGTCAAATCCATGTTCAACAGTTGCAGAAAGGTATTGATATTACCAAAACCTGATTGTATCAAGCGACATTGCTTTTCTTAGATATGACCCAGGTGGATCGGTGGGGGCGACGACATTTGTGTGGCGTGTGCCAGATGATATTTCATCATCAGAAATGATGACGGCCGCAACTAAAATAGTGGATAAACTGAAGCCTACTTTGCCCGCGTACCACACCCGCCGTATGAGGAAAGATTTCAGTGACAAGTATGGCAGCCTTGCTGGAGTAAATATTCCACCACATGTATTAAGGGCCATCTATGCTGACCTGACCTTAGATCAGGCATGAGATTTTTCCGACTAAAGTCGGAATTCCGATTTTTTGTAATGAGTACCCATGGATTTTGTGAATCGTGTAAATCCATTGAGATATTAAGGGGGGGGGTATTGTGAGTCGGGATCATTTTCCCACCATCATCGTTCGATCTACGTTGGTAGAGCTCGCTATTGCCTATCAACTGCATTCAATTTCAAAATAAAATTGTTTATTGCAAATAACGTTAGTCGTGCCCTACGTTAGATGATAGTAAATTTCCGTCAACAAATGAAATGTAATCGTCGAGAGCCAATTTTTGGAAATTTTCTGGTGGGGTGATCTTGTCCCGCTATTATCTGGTGTCGACTTCCTGCGAGAATATGGCAGTGTAGTGTTTTCGAGGTTGAACGCCGGGCAGACATTCCTCCCAACCTCGACTCCAGGAATTCCATAAACTTTCTCAATTTGTTTGTTAGGAACGAGGTTTAATCAACAAATGAACAGGCAATAGACCAAACATGAATTAAGTGGTTGGTGTGGCGCCTAGCGGCGAATTTTAAAACCACGCTAAGGCGTGCCATAAGCGTGGGAACTCAGATGAAATAGCTCCATGCTTTTCCGTAGAACCTAAACAATTTGCCGTTATCAAGAAAACGATGGAGCCGCAAGTAGAAAACGAAAATAAAGATGGAGGCAAAAAAGGTTTGTTGGCCATCGTGTAGGCCTAGGCCTA